GGTCAACCACAGTAGATTAAGTAAGTAAGTAAGGCCTTGTTTGAAAGTGACAATTACTTGATAACATCTACGGTAAAGTAAGTTCCTGCGACAAAAAAACGAATTAACATCACGTTTCAAAACTAACACAAGGAGACGTCGCAATACCGGCCGATCGATCGAGTAAGATGGTCGATGGAACTTACACAAAATATGTCACTTATAGTGAAACAGAAGAGTAAAAAGACGTAAACCTGCCTTGATTTAGGAAACACTGTTGTCGCTTTAAAGACCTGAAAAGCAATAGTTAAAAACGGTGATAAGTGAGTGAGTGAGTGGGTGGGTGGGTGATTGAGTGAGTGATTGAGTGATTGAGTGAGTGAGTGAGTGAGTGAGTGAGTGAGTGCGTGCGTGCGTGCGTGCGTGCGTGCGTGAGCGAGCGAGCGAGCGAGCGAGCTAGCGAGTGAGTGAGTGAGCAATTTTCTTTGCATACTAAACATGTTCGCTCTTCTACTGGGATTAATGCTCCTCAATTTTCATATTTGCCAGTTTGTATTCGTAATGCATAACATCCTAATCTAAGCCTTGTCAGGCTAATTCTGTGTGCTGGCTTTGTAATTAATGTTAGGCAGTTTTCAAATTGATAATTATTTTTAACTTCCTTTTGTGTAAATTTCTCTCTTAAACTTGTTCATGACCCATTCTGGGGTTTCAAGCCAGTTCTGTATTGATTCTAAATATTGATTCTGAATATTGATTCTTGAGTGTTTTCTTTATAACTAGTCGTGCATTCTTGATGTGTTGCTGGGTTGCTGGTTCTTTTATTTTACACTTTTTATTGATTTCTTCATTCTGTTGAATGTCAAAGAAAGTTTTATGTTTTGTTGCATATTGAAATGCTTCTCGTAACAAAACGTTGTTAGTGGAATGCTTCAATCTTTGCCCGTAGCTGAAGATTGATGCTTTTATGTCGATGCTTAAAGGATACCGCCCAAGCTCTGCTCTACAAGCAATATTTTCTGTATACCATGGAACGTTTAATGACTGTTTACAAACCTTTATATGAACTTGTTCAGTTGTACTTTTATCAAAAGGTGTTTTGTATGCTAATAGTTCCGGTCCCCAAATTTCGCATGCGTAAAGTGACACGGGTTTGACCAGGGCATTAAAGAGTTTGTTCTTAATCGTTATTGTTGCTGTATCATCCATATTAGGGAAGGATCGATTTATTATCGAGAGAACTTTGATGGCTTTTTTGCTAAGAATTTCTCTTGCATAGGTGTAACGACCAGATGACGTCATTTCTATACCTAAATATGTTTGTTTCTCAACACTTTCTAAAGTTTCATTGTCATATCTAAAATTTACCTCGTTCTTGTTTTGTCCGTTACCACTGAATATAATAATGTTTTACTTTTTGGTGTTAACTTTGAGCTTCCAATTTTGAGCATGTTTATGAATTACATCAAGCGACCGTTGCAACCCTTCTGAAGGAGGGCTGATTACTAGCAAATCATCTGCATACGTTAAGCAGTTTAGAGATCGATTTCCTAACACTACACCTGGGCATTTGTTCTGTTTAAAATATTGCGGTAAATCATTCATAAATAAAGAAAATAAAACTGGGCTTAAACCATCACCTTGCCTTATCCCCTTGGTAAATGAAAATAGGTCTGTAAGTGTGTTCTGGTCAATTTTAACACATCTCTTAATTGAGGAATACGTGGACTGACATTCAAGGCTTTTCCTTGAATTCCGTATTTGTGTAATTTATGGATCACACAGCATTGCCATACACTATCAAAAGCTTTTTCGTAATCAATGAAACCAACATAAAGATTTTGGTGTTGTTTGGTGTATTTATGGATTAGTTGGCGGAGAATAAATAAACTATCTGTGGTTCTATAGCGTTTGGTCTGAACACAAACTGTTCTGGATTTAAAATATTGTGTTGCTCAATAAACTTATTTAATCGGTTTTGTAAAATTGATGTGTGAAGAGTTTCCCTAAGCAGCTGGTTAAAGTGATTCCTCTGTAATTGGCTGCGCATTTCTTTTTGTATATTGGTTTTATGACACCTATGTTCCATTCAGTTGGGAAGGTGCCGGTTTCAATGATGTCACTGAATATTCTTTCTAGAGAAGGTATATAATACCGTCCGTGTTTGATCATTTCATTTAGAAGAGTGTCCGTACCAGGTGCTTTTTTATTTTTGAGTTTAGAAATTAGATCATGAATTTCTCTCACGGTGATCGACTCATTTAAAATTTCATCTGACAGCGTAGTTTCGTCAAGATTGTTTGGGGGATTGGCAACTGTGTGTGATTCTTGAGTTTCTTCTGCGTCATGCAAAAGGTTTTGAAAATGCTTTATCCAATATTCTGGTGGAATATCAGAACTTTCGTCAATCGTTTCACTTTTTCGAATTTTGTTTATTAGTTTCCAGAAATCTCCGCTTTGGTCGGAATTTAAGGTGTTTACTTCATTTAAAAGTTGATTCTTATATCTTTTATTCATCTTTTTTATCAGCTTTTTGTATTTCTTTTTGAGAACAAAATCTTCTTGTCGCAATGATCGAGGAGTTGTGGGATTAATTTTGTTCGCAAGTGTCTGCAGCTTTCTCCTTAACTGTCTGCAAGTATTATCATACCATGGTTTGCTTTTTTTTTTATCTTTTTACGCGTTTTACTGCGTGATGGCACTAGGCTAAGTTCTGTAACTGATTTTAGTATTTGTTTGAACTGTGAAATCTCATCATCTATTGAACTATGGTGTTCTGCACTAAGAGATTTAAGCCTGTTTGGAATATTAAAGCTCGACAATGTACTTATGAATTTATCTTTGGATTCTGGCTTCCAAAGAAATTTGGTGAAGCAGTTTCGCGAGGATGCCTCTGTTTTTGGACGTTCTTTTGGGGCGTTGTTGCTGTACATGATGCCACGATTACA